GAAAAATAACGTTTTTCATACAAAGAGCCCTGTTTTCCCTGAACTCCTCTTACAATTTACTCGGAGATGGTTGGTGGGGTCATGTAGATGTGCAGTAATGTTTTGGAATTTAGATTTTGCCCTGGGGGGTCAAATGTGGGTCGAAAAATGACGTTTTTTGTGCAAAAAGCCCTGTCTTCCTTGAAGTCTTCCTTATTGTTATACCTTTAGAAATTTGTTCCTATACAATTCTATACGAAAAAAAGTCTAACATTTTTAATGTTTTGCTGAGCGGGCATAAAAAAATCGATGTTGGACCGCTGAGTGAGATGTTGGACCGCTCGGAGAGATGTTGGACCGCTTACGTCACAGAGTGGGCGGAGCTTAATCTCATTTTCATTCGCTGGTGTTAAACAGTGATAGATCTGGTGTTACATCACGGAATAAAGTACAAAATACATGTAAATAAAAAAATAAATAAAATAAAATGAAAGGTATAACAAAACATTTATTGACAGAGTTCTCGGGCAAAATGCGTTTTGTCGACCCTAGAACCAAACTGTCTGCCTTCGGCCTAACGGCCTAACAGCCTCAGGCAGACAGTTTGGTTCTTGGGTCCGACAAAACGCATGTTGCCCTCGAACTCAGTCAATAAATGTATAATGTTACTCAGAAGCCTAATCATCTTTTAGGAGAGTTAAATATTTTGAAAATTATGTAAAACATCAACGTCAAGGGGTAACAAGATGTGGTTGTGAAACACTATGCGCGCGGCGTCAACAAAGTTCGGAAAAGCTATTTTTAGCATATAGGTCACAGTCAAGGTCACAAGGTCATTGACCTTGGTGTTGTTTGTAAGAACTTAATTAGTGGGGTATGCATACTAAATATGAAGTCCCTATCTCCTATGGTTCAAAAGTTATGGCAAAAAGTAGAAAAAGCTATTTTTAGTATAAAGGTCATAGTTTAGGTCATTGACCTTGGTGTTGTTTGAAAGAACTTTATTAGTGAAGTATGCATTCTAAATATGAAGTCCCTATCTCTTATGGTTCAAAAGTTATGGCAAAAAGTGGAAAAAGCTATTTTTAGCATATAGGTCACAGTCAAGGTCACAAGGTCATTGACCTTGATGTCATTTGAAGGAACTTTATTAGTGCAGTATGCATACCAAATATGAAGTCCCTATCTCCTATGGTTCAAAGGTTATGGCAAAAAGTGGAAAAAGCTATTTTTAGTATAAAGGTCACAGTCAAGGTCACATGATCATTGACCTTGGTGTTGTTTGAAAGAACCTTTTTAATGGAGTATGCATACCAAATATGAAGTCCCTATCTCCTATGGTTCAAAAGTTATAACAAACAGTTGAAAAACCTATTTTTAGCATATAGGTCACAGTCAAGGTCACGAGGTCATTGACCCTGATGGCATTTGAAAGAACTTTATTAGAGGAGTATGCATACTAATTATGAAGTGTCTATTACTTCTGGTTTAAAAGTTATAACAAACAGTTGAAAAACCTATTTTTAGCATATAGGTCACATTCAAGGTCACAAGGTCATTTACCTTGAGGTCATTTGAAAGAACTTCTTTAGAAGAGTATGCATACCAAATATGAAGTCTCTATCTCTTAGGGTTCAAAAGTTTTGGCCAAGGTTAAAGTTGACAACAGACAAACAGATAAACAGACAGACAGACAGGACAAAAACAATATGCGCCCCGAAAAAAATTCGGGCGCATAAAAAAACATCGCATGCTGGGAAACACCTTGAATTCTTATGAGTAATTTATGTACATGTCAAATGTGAGAGTCATATCTCATCTTAATCAAAAGTTATAAGCAAATGCAACATTTTTGAAAAGTAGGTTAGGCTTGATCACTTCAAGGTCAAGGTCACAGTATAAAAGTCATGATTTATTTGGAAAGGTCTTATCACAGGTAATAATATACATGCATTATGATATGAATGCCCTAACTTTTCTCTTTCAAAATGATGAATTTATAACAATTTAATTTTTTTGCAAGTTGGTCAAACTTCTAGGTCACATGTAAAAAAAAAACCTTGCCATTCTCACAGGTAAATATACTTGTCTAGTACATAAGTTTAATATGAATGTCTCTTCTCATTCAGTAGATATGACCGTGATAACCAAGGTTAAATTTATTGAGACAGATGGACTGAGTCTGACATACAAATGTACATATTTCTATATGAATTGGGTAAAATTGGCCCAGTGGTTCTAGAGAAGTTAAAAATGTAAAAAGTTTTCAGACAAACAGATGGACAACACGTCACGACAGACATTATATGCTAAGGAAACCAAAAAAGCTCAAATGAGTGTTTTGAAAGGGTTACAATATGGTTGGAGTATTTGAAAAGCTGTTTTTTTTCCTGCAGAGATATGCATGACCAACATATTCATGTTTTATATTTTCTTTAGTGATTTGTTTGTTTGTTGTGAATACATCTTCCCTCATATGGAGACACCACCAAATAATAATGAAGATAAGATGTGTTTGTGAAACACTGATGTCCCAGTATGGAAGCCTATGGCGAAGGTTGAAGTTTCTCAAATATATGTCAAAATCAAAGGTCAAGGTCAAAGGGTTCAAATTGTTAGTATCAGAAGAAAGTCTTGTCACAAGAAATGCACATGTGAAATAAAGAAATCCCTAGTAATTCCTGTTCAAAAGTTAATTGCCAAGGTTAATTTTTTTGTTTAAGTGGTTCAAACTCTAGGGTCAAGGTCAAACATATTTATACCTGTTGACAGTTCACAATGAATACAATATGTCATGATAAGTATGAAAGCCCTAGCACCTACTGATCAAAATTTAGGCAGAGTTTAAAGTTTGGTATTTTTCTTGTAAAAATGTGTATCCCATGTCAAGCGATCAGAGGTAAAAATTAATGGTACCCAAATAAAAGTTCTTATTAAATTGTCACAAGAAATAAACCTATAAAATGTGGAAGCTATTTGTATAGCCCATCCCACTTAAAACTTATGGGCAAGCTAGCTAGGATTTAATTTCTGCAGACTTATAGACAGACATACTATAAACACAAGAAACAAAATATGTATAATAATTAGTCAAATGGAAAAAAAATATACTATTTAACTGGAATCACAAAATACATTGTTATTTCAGGGACAGGAAGTGGGTAGGAAGATTGGAATCCCCCCTCCATCCCCCCATCTGGCATTTGCTTTGTTATTTAAACAAGACTATATACTGTAGCAAGTAAAAAATGACTCCTGACATCCACTCCCTATATAAACTTAGAAAACATTGACCTCACTATCATTGTTTTTTTATTTGTTTATTTGTTTTCATTTCTTTTCTCCTGCTTGTCACGAAATTCTGGGCTGGAATTTTTTGACTGAGATGTGAACCCCCCTCCCTACTCCCGAAAAAAATTCTGGATCCGCACCAGTATTGGCAGTAACTGAATGTCACATCGACAACGGGAGATAACTTCACAATATGAAATTCGTCTAGTGTTGCATGATCCTTTTTAAACTTTAACCTAATCGTTTGGGTGTATTTTACCCCCCACTATACTAAAACTTCTACTTACCGATCCTTGTGTCTTCATGAAATATAAATCCAATTATAACACAAAATGAATTAATCCAATGCACACCAGACTGCAGCCGCGTGCCATTTGGGCGAACCTTCGTCGATTCCATCACCTTATCAGATGAAGTGGGAATCGGCCGAGGTGTGCCAAATGGTGTTTAATCTATAAATATGATAATGGGTGACGCAACGTGATGTGATGTAGAAATTTACATGTTCACATGTATAGTACAAGAACAAATTTTAAATTAATTCATAACAAACGATATTAAATTTTAACAAACCTTTTCCATCTAGCCTATTCCAAAAAGTATGTGCGGTGTGATTGTGGTGTCGAGGGGGGGGGGGTTTAGTAAATTTAAAAAGGTCCTATTATGAGCAAAACATATATCAAAATCTAATTTCAGACGCGGATAGAAATTTTTTCCGGGGGGGGTCCACCTCAGTAAAAAAAAAAATCTTATCCGAGAAATTGACAATCAAAATTAAAAAACTTAAAGTGAATCTCACCCAAACGTCAAAAACCTATATCGTGGGGGGGGGGGGGGGGGGGGGTAGTGATGACTTCTATTGCCGCAAATGTTTAACTTTTCATACCTATTTAACACATATTCGTGTTTAACAGGGGGGGATCTGCATTTTCCAAGGGGGGTCCACTGTAAGTTTTTCCTTGTTTTAGTATATACATTTTTTAACCTTGTAAATTCCAGGGGGGGGGGGGGGTCCTGACACCCCCCCCCCCCCCAGCAGATCCGTGCATGAATTTACATCATTAATAAAATTCAGTCTGGTATATAATGAATTAAGCATGTATAAAATAAATATAAGAGGTTCTGAGTTATAGGTCACAGGGTCTGAGAATTTCATACTCAATTTGATGAATACATGTAAATTATAGAATTATTTTGACTATTTCTTTGGAAAGCCGCCCAATATGTAGGAGCGTGTATTTAGAGGCAAACACCTTAGTGCGGGTATTACTGTCTCATGACAGCATCTAGTTTTTTCTACTTTCACTTTTTCAATACAATATCGAACCCGAACTGATTGGATGTAAAGGACGCGACGCGCCTATTATTTAATTGCGATTGATCATCTTAAATATTTTCTTTTAACTTTGAATCAAAATTCTAAGAATAACTTTAATAAAAATCAATACTTTTGTTTTCTATTCAAGTTTAGTTCTTCTAATGCGAATCGTTCCACAGCTTTCCAACTGTACGATTGCGGTGAATAGCCTGATCTTTACTTCAAATTTTAAATGACAAAACGCAAGAATAGAAATTAATAATAAAATGAAAACAAAGGATTTAAAAATATAAAATCTGCATCAAAGTTTTAAGCAATTTTATTTGTGCTAAATATACGAAATTATTTTTTTGAAAAAAAGTATATTTTATTTTTTCGTTTTCTTAAAAAAAAATAATAATATGTGCATTGCGAGCGCGTACTTTGAAACGAAAAAGATATGGGTAAGGAAGAATTCTTTATTTTACCATAATGCAAGTGATTTAGACTATTTCAGAAGCATTCTTTTCACAAAGCTAACATTTGTTTTGCTGAAATTAATGTTATATGAAAAGGAGTTTGCTCAGCTCGCCTTCATGTAGGTGTTTTGTTTTTGTAAACAACTTTGTATCCGGATTGGCTCTACCAGAGACATAAATAAAATATTTATGTCTCAGGTTCTACCTATTCCGAATATATTGAAGTCAACTTAAGTAGCTTTATCGTTTTATTTTCGTAAAAAGCATGAAAGTACAGAAACATCATTCACTGTGTTCACTGTATTATGTATGGGCTGATGGTGTAAAAAACAAGCTATACTCTCCAATTTTTTTTTAATGAATGTTTTTTATGAAGGTTTCCTCCTGATTCCTTGTTCACTCTGAGTGGTTTCGCCCTATTACTTGTCTGCATTGAGTGGATTTGCCCAAATTGGGCCTATATGGCCTAATCAATGTCTGCTTGTCGGGTGGTCGTTTGATCAGTAGATGAATGAATGATGATTGATGAGCAGCTTAATAAAAATTAAAGATGGAAGGCTGCCCTTGTTTGTGCTTTTTACACAGACTCAGGACCCCTTGACTTTGAGAAAAGAGGGAAGGGCAACACTTTCCACATACGTTCTTGAATCCATATTGGATTCGAGTTTACTAAAATATTACAGTTTACCATTTAAAGAATTGTTAAGAATTACTGAAGACAAAGTATATGATTATAAGCATATTTATATATTGCAGAGAAAACTCAATATTCCTTTCCACTGCTCCCTGCTGATCAGCTAGTTCAGGATCTTAACATCATAGCAGATTTACCTCTGGAGGAGAAGGACTTCAAACAACCAAACGTAAGAAATAGGAACATACACAATCTGTTATACTGGTGCTTGTATTTCTGTTTATCTGCACATAAATGCCAACATCAGGACTTGCTCATATTTTATAGGTTAATTTATTATTTATATTAGGTTGTTTAAAAAAAAAATTAAGGTCAAGATCTAGTAAATGACTCTAGACTAATTTTTTGGTGCTAGATCCATTATGACGTCATAATCAATTTCAACTTTCTTTTTCCTGTACTTTATGACTTTAGCACAATTACCGTTATGTAGAAAAAAGGGTATTTTCATGGCATTCAATTTGAAATCATATGAAAAGTTATCCCGATACTAGGGCTGTCACGGTTAATCGAAAACTATGGTATTCGGTTCGGTTCAAATCGGTTCGGTTTTTTTTTTATATCTTTTATATAATACTAATTTGCTTGCAACACGCGTTGTGATTGGTTGTTTGGTTCAATGAAGGGTTCTTTAACCAATGCAGGTAACATCGAAGACATTTAAACATGGCATACACATGTGGAAGGAAAACCAAATCACAAGTAATTGTTTTGTCAACCACGTCCCCTACTTTCAAAAACGTGAAGTATTACCACACTTGTGATTTGATGATAACTCTAGTCAATAACTATATTTATTTTATTTTATACAAGAAGTTATTACTTTGTTATTTTTTGTTACGTTTAACAACATGTTCTGTTGAATAAAATGGATAGAAATTTGTGTCAGCAAAATAGTACTTTCTACAATGTCCTTAATCCTTATTATCCTTTGATATATATAAAAATGTTTTATTTAAATTCTCAAAATGAAAACCGAACCGAAAAAACCGAAAACCGATAATTTATTGAACCGAACCGAACCGAAAAATGTCTGAACCGTGGCAGCCCTACCCGATACCTATATTAAATTTGATATTATGTTAAAGAAGAGGCCATGAACATACAAATTACCGTTTTCTGAGAAACTGTAGGCAATCTGGATACATTTCCTTTGTCGAATATGAAAAAAACGCCCATATTCATAACTAGTAAGTGTCCCCCGCTTGAAAAGTGAGGGATATTAATTTGGGTCTGTCCCTCCGTCCGTCTTTCTGTCTGTCTGTAAATCTTTTTTTCGCTGTCAGTCATTTGGACCGACTGCCATGTGAAGTTTGTCAGTCCAGACAGATTTCTATCAGTCCAAAATAAATTCAATAAAACATGAAAAAAAAATTGTATTTAAATTTTATTATCAATAAACACGGCGTCTATATAAACACTGCACACTTCTTACCCTAGCGCCGTCAACAAACTTGTTTTAACAGTTTACCAATAGTTTGGCACAAGTTATAATAATCTGTGTCTCGGAACAAGTCCTCATAACAGTTATTCTCGCAATGTAGCAATTAATTAAGAATTGCTCCAAAACGAATTTGAAGTATACAAAAGGATATGCACTGGAAATAACTTCAAAATTAATTACAACAAACCTTTTTTAGGTCGCGTATGTCTTTAAACCTACCGGTAAATTATGATCCAAATAAAGACGATAATTCAACTAATTTTCTTTACGCTTCAAATTTACACGCCATGTTTCTGGAATCTTCGTAGTAAATGTACAGTTCGAGTTATTGCCCGTGTTTATTTTGCGACATAGTGAATATACGGAACAAATTGTATTAATAAACCGGGTCCGTAGGACATTTTTCATTTTAACGATAGAACATTGTCTCTAAATTCGCACTTGCATTAATCGATAAGCCATTACAACATGCAGAAAAAGAGTTTGAAAGATTACGATCGGTGGAATATAGGGAATTTGTACGAAATTTAGTAAGATTTTCGCAAGTTCCTCTGTCAACACTGTCCGGTCATTTGGACTGACACAGAACGGGAAAGTAATCGGTCCTTGGTTGTTTTTAGCTCACCTCAATGAAGTTGGGGGGAGCTTATGTGATACCCTCGGCGTCGGCGTCGGCGTCCCGGGTTAAGGTTAAGTTTTTTGGAGCAGTTTTCTTTTTAAGTACTTCTATGTCCTATATTGATTAGACATGCATGGAAGATGTTTCTAGTGTGTTTCATTGTACCAGTCAAAGTTTCAGATGCTGCAATTTCAGCAAAGGAATGACCAGGTTAATGTTTTTGGAGCAGGTTAACATTTTTGGTGCAGTTTTTGGTGTAGGTCTCATTTCCGAGTAACTATAAGCCCTATGTTGACCAAACTTGCATGGATGGTACATCTTAGGATGCATACTACCAGACTTGCTTCGGATGCTGAATCTGACCTACATTTTCCGGTTGAGTGAACAGGTTAAAGTTTTTGGAGCAGGTTTCATTTCGAAGATACTATGAGCCCTATAAAGACCAAACTTGCAGGGATGGTACATCTTAGGGTGCATTCTACTAGACTTGCTTCGGATGCTGAATCTGACCTACATTTTCCGGTGGAGTGAACAGGTTAAAGTTTTTGGTGCAGGTTTCATTTCCAAGTTACTATGAGACATATAATGACCAAACTTGTATGGATGGTACATCTAAGGATGCATACTACCAGTCTTGCTTCAGATGCTGAATCTGACCTACATTTTCCGGTTGAGTGAACAGGTTAAAGTTTTTGGTGCAGGTTTCATTTCCAAGTTACTATGAGACATATAATGACCAAACTTGCATGGATGATACATCTTAGGATGCATACTACCAGACTTGCTTCGGATGCTGAATCTGACCTACATTTTCTGGACGAGTAAACAGGTTAAAGTTTATGGTGCAGGATTCATTTCCAAGTAACTTTGAGCTCTATAATGACCAAACTTGCATGGATGGTACATCTAAGGGTGCATTCTACTAGGCTGGCTTCAGAAGCTGAATCTGACCTACATTTTAGGATTAGTGAAAAGGTTAGTTTTTTTTATACAGGTTTCATTTCCAAGTAACTTTGAGCTCTATGTTGAACAAACTTGCATGGATGATACATCTTAGGGTGCACACTAATGGACTTGCTTCAGATGCTGAATTTGACATACATTTTCCAGATAATAGACCTCGTAAAAGTTATGGGTGCAAGTCTATCATGAAGAAACTATAAGGCTTATATAAACCAAAGTTGCACAAATGATGCATCAAGGGATGAAAACTCTCAATCTTGCTTCAGATGCTGGATTTTAATTACATTTTCATGATGAAGAACAAGTTTGAAGTTTTATAGATCTATTCCAAAGTATCAAAATCAAAATTGCATAAATTTTGCATTTTTGGATGTACACTTTTTGTTGGTTAATTGTGTGACTTAATTTGCCTTACTTAAAGACAACATTCGTTGAGGTGAGCTCTGTAATCTCTGATTACTCTATGTTTATCGGTTTTGCCGGTTCAAGAACTCTGTGTAACGCTTTTGTTTCCACACGATATCTCGAGAACCCTTTGAGCTTTCGCAATGAAACTCCCTATGGACTACAGAAGAACTATATTGATTTTGAGGTCAAAAGGTCAAAGGTCAAGGTCATAAATTCGCAAATTCTGTCTGTTATAACACTTTCGTTTCCGCACGATATCTCGAGAACCCTTTGAGCTTTTGCAATGAAATTTTACATAACAACTCCCTGTGGCCGAAGAAAGACCCCTATTGATTTTGAGGTCAAAAGGTCAAAGTTCAAGGTCATAAATTTATACATTTTTAGCTCACCTGAGCCGAAGGCTCAAGTGAGCTTTTCTGATCACATTTTGTCCGGCGTCCGTCTGTCTGTCTGTCTGTCTGTCCGTCTGTCCGTCTGTCTGTCTGTCCATCTGTCTGTAAACTTTTCACATTTTCGACTTCTTCTCAAGAACCGCTGGGCCAATTTCAACCAAACTTGCCACAAAGCATCCTTGGGTGAAGGAAATTCAAGTTTGTTAAAATGAAGGGCCAATTCAAGGGGAGATAATTGGGAATTAATGAAAATTTGGTGGTATGTTTTAAAAATCTTCTTCTCAAGAACCACTGTGCCAGGAAAGATGAAACTTATGGGGAAACATCCTCAGGCAGTGTAGATTCAAATTTGTTCAAATCATGACCCCAGGGGGTAGGGCGGGGCCACAATGGCCGACCAAAGTTTTACATAGAAATATATAGGAAAATTCTTTAAAAATCTTCTTCTCAAGAATGACAAAGCCATGATTGATCATATTTATATGGAAGCATCCTCAGGTAGTGTAGATTCAAGTTTGTTCAAATCATGACCCCCGGGGGTAGGGCGGGGCCACAATGGCCGACCAAAGTTTTACATAGAAATATATAGGAAAATTCTTTAAAAATCTTCTTCTCAAGAATAACAAAGCCATAATTGATCATATTTATATGGAAGCATCCTCAGGTAATGTAGATTCAAGTTTATTCAAATCATGACCCCTGGGGGTAGGGGGGGGCACAATGGCCAATCAAAGTTTTACATAGGCATATATAGGAAAATTTTTTAAAAATCATCTTCTCAAGAATTGCAAAGCTATTGCTCATGGGACTACTTTTGGATTTAAACTTTTCAATAATAAACCAGTTTCTACTTTTTCCTAGCCACAGTGCTCAGGTGAGCGATGTGGCCCATGGGCCTCTTGTTTCTGTATGTAACACTATCTTTTCCGGGCGATATTTCAAGAGGATTTTGAGCTTTTTCAATGTGATTTTATACCAACACTCCCTAGGACCTCTCTCACCCCTCTCAAAGTGTCCTGCCCCGTGTGTTTATTGGTATTTATATTGTATTAAATGTCGCTGTTTTTAGCACAGGGACACGAGGAGGGTTATCACGTATAAAACAGGTTCTTGGCGGACTTTATATTCTTATTACATCTATTAGAACTGTTTAATAAAGGTTAAATTAGAAATCATGCATTGTGTAAAATTTTGACAATATCGAACGTGAATATATATATGTATGTGACTTCATGTTTGCATATAATTTTCGCTAACGCTTCACATGTGAGAGGGCCCAAGTTCACATCCCGGGCGATCAATTTTTTTTTTCGAAATACTTTTTTTTTTTACTAAATGATAGTATCCATGTGAACTGAAAAATTTATGAGGTCTGGCTTGTACAAACTCATAAAATTATCATTACAGTGTGATAAATATTTCCTATCAAAAGAATCTTCTATACACATAATAAAGAATAAGCAATCAAACCTTTATATCCATATTGGCATATTTTATTTGCTTCAGTATACATGTATACATTTAATAATTCTACAAATTCAGTCAAGGGAATCCAACCCCCCCCCCCCCTTCCCCCCGAACTGCACATGGTTTACTTTTTACCTAAGCGGGGGACACAAATTCTCTGAATTAGCTTGTTTTTCATTGAAAATGACAGTTTAAAATGTGGTTTTTCATCTTGTTACCTACAAATTATGCCCGGAAACACCTTATTTGCCCAAGCTAAAGTTGTAAAGCTTCATAAAGGAATTTATCTCTCAAATTTGATAAATCTGTAGGCATCTTTCATTTACTAGATTTTGACCTTAAGACAGAATTTTAACTTGCAAACAGTCAGCATTGCAACCAATTTTAATGTATGTAGATTATTTCACAGTTGTTTAATTGTTAAATTAGTAGCTGCAAAGGAAGTACAAATTGTTGAACTGCAAATAAAAGTTGATTTACCACAGTACATGCACTAAATAAATGAAGAAAATGCTACGATTGCTTGTGATTTTTTGATTTTTGACAGAGTCAGAGGTGGCAGAAGATATATTGCCGTTTGGTTGAAGTTCTGTCAGGTGTGTCATTTGAGAGTATTATACAGGTAAGTTAACAAGCCATGACAAAAATACTAATAAACTTTTAAAATGAATATTAAATCTTCTTTAATAATTTTAATGTTCAAAGATGGTTTATTTATTGCTATATATTCAGTATAATGCATAAGCTTTTGTAACTATTGTAAACCAGTGAAGTGATTATGAATTTGAAATGTTAATTGATTAATTTTTTTTGTAGCAAGTTTTGTATGTCAAAGATGAGATGGAGTTTCCAGAATTGTACGAAGAAGCCACTGAAATTGTCCTACTTTCTCTTACATTGTATGTTTACCTTTACTTTGGCATAATAAATGTTAATGATATCTTCAGACTTGAATGGTGTTCACATTGCCTTTTTTTTTTGGCAATATTAGTTGCAATTGGCATTTGCCATGCTTTCAACTATTTTTTAATATTTTCTTTTCTTTGAATGTAATAGAAAAAGAATGCTGTCGTCTTGTGGAATTGCTGATTTCTCTCTGAAGGACGTCAAAGAACCATGTAAGGATCTTCTAACTATAATTATTCTGATTGGAATATTTGTATCTCATTAAGAGAAAATTTGATTGTCTATATTACCCAAGTAATTTTAAATATCTCATCATGTTTCAGCCCCAAACAGAGTTCTAAAGATCATGTGTGCTATCGCCAATTTTATAAAATTCCAAAAAGGAAGGATTCAGGTGTACCAGGACTTGAAGGAGGAAAATGTGAGTGACAGGAACGGTGAATGGGAAGGCAAAAAATGGTCAATGGGACTAGAGCACAAATGTCAACATTTTTAATGGGCCATTTTGAAAATGAGTGGGGCCATCAATTTGATCTTAGGGGCCATTTTAAGAAATAAGAAAATGACAAACAAATATGACATACAAAAGAAAACATGTTTTTAATTATGGGTTACCCAAACTGATTTATAGCATATGATATGCAGCAAATTTAAAGGAACTTGCATAGAATTTGATCTAACTGTATTTTGTGTTAAAATTTGGAAAGAGCACCACCTTACCCTACAAATGAATGAAGTAATGTACCTAATGTAAGTGTTTCATTTAACTAGAAGCAGTTTTTATAGGTTCAACCAATGAGATTTGTTGTTTTAAAATTGACTGCATTCAAAATGAAAGTAAAACAAGTAAGAAAGTCATACACAAATATTTCCAAATAACATCGCTAAAAATTGAATGCGCACTGTGGCACCACAATTGATTGATTCAATGCACCATTTTTCACTTCAATGCGACTATTGTGCGTGGCGCAAGCCCTTCCCAATCACTGCAAGAACAAGAGAATGGATTCAACTACAATTTTCACTTAAAAGCTTCAAGATTGATTATTAAAGTTGCAGTCAAATTTTCTGCAGTATCGAACTTTTCTTTAGCATTTAACAACTTTACATTCTATTATTTTTCTTATTTCAGGACAGATTTCGGGATCAATTTGATCACATGATCCAGAAACGAGACAGAATCAAAGCAAAGATTCAGGAACTAAAAGCTGAAAAACCAAAAAATGACCCAGAATTTGCCAAGGTAGGTGCAAGGTATCTTGTACAAATGCAAGTACTGCTCAAATAATTAAGTTTCTTAATCATGATTTGAGCATAAAGATAATCAAGGGTCTTGGGTGCATTTCGTTCATTAAAATTGACTTTAAAGGTTAAGTATTCTTTGCATAAACATGTGAAAACAAAATCAAAAAGATTTATTAGTAATCAAAATATCAAATAAGTTAATTTGCAGCATATGAGCATTTCTAAATACAAAAGCTGATAGACATCGCTTTAAAATTTACATTTTATTCTTTTTAACTTCCCATAATGTTACAGTAAAACTTGCTTAGTACGAACACGGATATTGCGAATTCACAGTTATAGAGAAGTCCTCAGCAGTATAAATTTAATGAATTTCTTACACGGTTATAAGGAATTAAAGATATAGTGAAGTAATTTCATAGGTCCTAGCGACATAGTTATAACCGAGTTTTGCCTTATGTGTGTGAATTCTACTTTATGAGACATCAATGTGTTTTGATTTTTTAAGAACCGATTTGTTTTATAATAGATCCAAGAACAGCTGGATATTCTGAATGACGGATTACAGGAACGACTCAAAAAACAAGCTGTGAAACAGAAGGCTGCCACCGAGGTCAAGGCCAGGCTAGCGGAAAAAGTAGCCAATAGGGTACAGCTTATTTTGTTTCAATAGTTTTACCTGCATTTAAATGAACAACACTGAAATATTATGATTACAGTAAATAGTATATAACTTTAAAATAAATGATATACTGTATAATCCCCATTTGCCGCCCCTGCCCCTATAAGCGCCCCCTTAGGTTTTTTTTAATTGTCAGGAAATAAGGGCCCCCTGTACAGTTATTAAAATCAACTAGAACCGTATCAAAAAATTGGATAAATTGAAAATAAAACTCGTCTTTTATCCAATTTCTCAGTGGAAAATGAACAATTTAGCCTAATTTGGGTGGATTATCCTCACGTTAAGAAAAGCTAGAAATTATACTGACACGCAACAAAGAGTAATCTACAAATGTTTGATTTTTTCATCTTATGATTTTGAAAAGCGAATAAGTAAGGTTTAACTCAGAGATTTGATGAAAATGTTTATCTGTTTACTTTACTAAGTAAAATATGACTGTTAAAACACCCCCTCCCAGCCATTCAAGTAAAACGTGCAAGACTGCCCTAAACAACAATTGCAGCTTAATTTCTATGATACAATAGGTTCATTAAGGGGATGAAGGATGTATGGTCACGTGACTCAGTTGATTTACGTCATAATCTCTGATAAAATATGTACAAAACGAGATTGAAACCACAGTACTTGTATAATTTTTTTGACTGTTTGTTTGAGTTCACCAACTAGTATAAAAATATCTGAAAACATTCAAAATTTCTTGCAAATATTATCAAATTACGGAATAGATTAATCCACTCTGCCGTTTCCCTACTCTGCGCGTTCAGTGCGTCTTTGATGTCATAGTGGATCTCTTAGTTCAGTAAGATCATACAAGGTAAAAACGGGTAGTATAAAATCATAAAAACAGGCCATAATATGTACATGGTAGGGTATTTTGAAAATTTCAGAACGCAAAAAATATTTTTACATGGTTGTTGACGGAAAAGTTCTGTGGGTTTGTCTTATTTCGCTTATTTCAGGAATGTGTGACGTCATAGTTGGGTTTTCCCGTACTTGAGAAATGTAAACATGACATGTTTTTCTCATGATCATGACTCGTTTAACTTTGCCACGTGCAATATTGAGCTCAGCTTCACCAATCGATATTTTTACAGTTAATCAATAGGATTTTTTGCAAATTGATTTTTTTATGGTTTAAGTTGTCCTAAAAAAGTCGTAAATTTTTGTCTCCAGATGTGGTGTTACAAAAGAATCTTGCTTTTTCGAATTTTTCACCCTATTCATACTCTAAAATATTTTAAAAGACACATTTCCGCAGGTATATTTTTTATCTATGGTGAAAAATTTCAATTATCGACCGAGTAATGGACCCAGAAACACGGAGAATAAAAACTCCGCTCAGACACTGTGGGGTATGGTATTTGTCACTCAATATCTCAGAAATAAGTCTAGAAACCTATTGATATGTCTGCTTTATAGTATGTAGGACATACTAAATAAGATATATACAAAATACGAAAAAAATTAAATGACAGGTATTTTTTCAGCTAAAGGCCCTTCATCCCCTTAATATCAAGATCTGAGCAGAGGAATTATTCTTTGGCGTTTTTAAATGCCCATTTTCAGTTGATTAGGTCGAATTTTCTCTAATTTAGAGCAGTGTAGCCACCCTTGGACTTCCGGTACAAGGACTGTCCTTAATGCATATGATACATAAGACCCTGTTGAGGCGTACTGTAATGAAATTTCACATCAGCAACTCTCCATCACCTTTACATTGTAATTTTCCAGCTAGAGCAATGGAAATCAGATGCGTACATAAGCCATTTTCAAGTAGCCTTAGCATTGTTACGAGAAACAAAAGGAGAGTTTATTTTTTTAGCTCTACAGGTCAGAGACCAGAAGAGCTTATGCGATAGTAATGCGTCTGGCGCCCGCCCGTCTGTCTGTCTAGCTGTCTGTCCGTCTGTCTGTAAACAATTTTTCAAAATGTTACTCTTCCTACAGTTTTGGTCTGATTTCAATATAACTTGGCACACGAGTAGTCGAGTAGACTACACTAAGATCCATAATGCTGTGTATCGGTTTTGGGTTTCGATGAACTGTGTTGCCGTGGTTAATAAAAATAGAAATTTCTGTGAAATTCTTTCAAAATACTACTACTCCTACAGTTTTGGTCTGATTTCAATATAACTTGGCACACAAGCAGACTACAGTAAGATACAGTAATTCTTTATATCGGTTTTGGATTTTGATGAACGGTGTTGCCGTTGTTACTAAAAATAGAAATTTCTGTGAAATTCTTTCAAAATGCTACGTCTCTTACAGTTTTGGCCTGATTTCAATATAATTGGCACACAATACTACACTAAGATACACAATTCTGTATATCAGTTTTTGACTTTGATGAACATTATTGCCTTGGTTACCAAAAATAGAAATTTCTGTTAAAAACTCTCAAAATGCTACTTCAAATACATGCAGTTTTAGTCTGATTATAATATAATATGACATGCAAGTAGACTTCACTAAGAACATAGAGACTTAATCAAGGATCATAATTCTATTTATTGCTGTGGTAAAGTTTCAATTCCCAATTGCTTAAGTACTTTTCTCTTCCTTTGCTATAAGTACAAACCAGAAGAGCTTCAGTCTCGACAGAGACTTCTGGTTTCAAAGTGTGTTAGATTGGTCCCAAATTTAACACACTTTGAAAATGTTTTTCAAATTGCATAATTTTTCAAAGTGCATTGTAACATTATGCTTCTTCTAATTTTGTGAATTTCATGGGTGTTAGGGCAAGGCTCTAATGATCATAAAGTATGCATGAACACTTTGAAAATCTTTTCCATTACTCTTTCGAAAATCTTTTCCATTTCTCCTGGGTAATATGCCAATGATCTTAGTATATATATTTTATGATGAAGAAAGGTGCATCTAGCAAAATGGTTAATTTCATGCCTCCTGGGTCAGGGGTATAGTCTGAAAATAGATTAATGGTATGAAATCTGCTCTGTGATATTAATCAAATAAAATTTATGATAAAAATAATTTTAAAATATGTGGCCCCAGGGTCAGAGGTTCCTGTGGGGTGGGGTGCACAAATGGTTATAAAGTTGAAATGCATTTTCTCTATTTTACTCTGATCTAACTCTGGGTATTAAGTAACTAGAGTAAGCATGCTAAGTGTATAATTATGATAAGCAATGGTGCCTCTTTCATTTTATTATAATACATGTAATAAAACAGACAGAAAAGAAAATATGAAATCAGAAGAGGATATGTAAATGTTAATTTCTATCAGGTGAACTCCTACAAATATCACCTGATATTTAATTAATTAAGGGAATCCATTGTAAAACTCTCTGTATTCTCATTTCTGTAGCTGTTTGTATTTTGTTGTGTGGTTCTTGTCTTAGAGATTGTTGATATGAGTATAAAGCAGCCTGCAGGTCCCCTGTCACCTGTTGACAAATCCCCAGAATTTGCCATGATATGTCTCTGTAATCTGTACGTATAAGCTGTCCCTGATCATAGTGAACTAGGGTCTGTAGATCATCTAGAGCTGTTTGTACTCGCATTGTGTCTACATGTCTGCAGCACAAGATCTCTAGCATGTATAACAGGATAAAGGGTGGTACAAATAATAAAGTTTCGTGGTTCTGTAGAGCAGACTGTTGTTCAGGTATCAGTTCACTGAAGTATAACTGGATTCTATTGTAAAGTTTGATATCCCATGCTACAGCTTGTCTCATCTTTGTAGACCAGGACTGTCCCCCTACAGCCTCAGTATACATCTCTGTATCTATAATAAAGTGATACATCACATATGGCTGTGCTAACATGACCTTGATCATCTCTATAATAGATAAAGCTTCCGTGTATCTAAGCGTCTTGTAATAATACATGGCTATGTACAGCATGTCTGTAATACAACCAAATCTGGCAGCTAATTTCAACATTTGACAGGACATTTTGTCAGCTCTATAACTCAGTTTGTTTTCATGTGTGTAAGTTTCCATGTGTAATATAAAAGCAGTGCTCTGAAGGACAGTAGCAGTAAGTTTCTGTAGCATAATGACTTGATACTGTGTCAGGAGGGGTGAACCTATCATCTGTTCTATTGTATGTAGATATCTCATGTAGATTTGTATGTCCAATTCATCTGGTTTTATGTAATGATCTATTATTTCAAAAAATAGATTTCTGTCAAAATGAGCCTCAGAAATCCGAGTATGATAATCTGTACAGATGGAGTTTCTGGGGTTATAGGGGACATCTATAATATAAGATCTAATGGAGGGACTGTGTAGCAGGAATGCTAAACCCTTCTCATACAACTCTAACAGTCTTAGAAATAATTGATGTTGTTTGATGCCATGAATTTTACTCAGAAACATGTTGTTGCCTGGAATGAAAAAGTTAGGACAGCCCCCCTCATATACCCATTTGATGATGAGTTTAAAACAGACCCAGAAACACTCCAGTAGATTTTGTGGACACCAGTGAGGTATTGTATTTTGTTGAATCACCCAGAAAACTGACGTCTTCATGTGATAGGAACACAGTAATTTATCATCATCACCTACTCCATTGTTAATTATTTCTCTTAAGATCAATTTAAGCAAGCCATAAGTTAAGAATTGACAGTGATTCATTATATACACAAGTTTTTTTTCTGCTTGGGAGAAAGAAATTCTCCATTCATGATCTTCATGATTTCCTAGCTTATGTCCAATTGCTACAAAGTGACATCCATTTTTCACTATATCATCAACAACATGAGGCTGGGGCCATGAGTGACATCTGTCTATCCAAGAGGAGGCAGACGGAGGCCAAAAGTCACTAACAAAACAGGAGGCATGATCAAATTCTTGTGCTCGAAATGTTAGACTGGCACAGGGTCCATGTTGAGTAAGGTTATAAGATAGTGATAACGCAGGTAAAAAGATCTGTCTGTATTTAGAACTAGATATATAATATCTGTTATTCATTCCAACACACATACTCTGGATGTATTTGTCCATGCTTGGTGACAGTAAATTTAACAAAGTAAATCCTGGTGGACTATCAGAACAGTCACAGAGAATCAGTGTTTGTCTGTGTGTGTTGTAATACTGAGACTGAGATAAGTCCCAGATCACACTGCGATTGTTTGGCCAGTGCATCATGTCTGTATCTGATCCTTCCAGTCTGAGTCCTTCTCCGTAACTTCCACTCACCAGCAATCTGTACTCATTTTTTCCCACTTGATTTATCACCATCTCCCAGATGTCTTCAACATCTCTCCTCATGGCCACCAGTTGTGAGGTCTCCACTTTATAACACAGTCCCACAAACACAGACTCTGATATGTGCTGTATGGCTTTAGTACTGAGAATGATTAAAGTGGAATTTAAATTCTTGTATTATTAATGTTTCACTTTTGTAAATCTATAATATGATTATGATAATTGATAATTTTTATTTAAAAAATCATAAAATAAAAAAAAAACTTCCTCAACTGAATCATTTTATTTTTCACATCAACTAAATCATTCATTTTTTTTTAAATAGTGAAATTCATAACTGGAAGTGTCTAGGTTATGTTTTAAATTCAGTGGTGTAAAAAGTTAAAACCAATTTTACTGTCAACAAATTACACTGATTACACTGTTTCAGATGAATTAGGAATTGTTTTTAAAGTTAAATTCTTGTCATGAAAACTTACATTTGTGAGCTTCTAATAGAGTCCATTTTCAGTGGCGTATATTCCTTTCTGCTAATGTGTAGGCTAGTGTGAAGTCACAGATGTAACCTGAGGTGCAAAGTGTGGGTAGACAAAGAGCTTCCTCTCGATAGGTATTGGGAGTCAGGGTCAGACCTCGACAATTCTTATTTGACAAGTGAATATAATATTGTAGACGTATCTCAGTTATATTATGATGTGCTTTGGAAATATGGAAACTTTCTTACTGATTCATATCCTGTCAAAATATTGAATTTCCTTCTTACCCAATATAATTCAAGTTATAAATTTCATTTCCTGCGGGTATTATGGAATCCTGTTGCTTTCAATGAAATTTCCTGATACAGACTTGGCATTAATAACACTTGAACTTGGGCTTAAAATATTTCCAGCAATGGAATTAGATTTGTCCTTAGAGCTGACATGAATTTTTAAAAACGCAACATTTTCATCTATTGCCACTTGTTTCATACCAACTATAGCCGTATTTGGCCATATTTCTTTCAGATACCTTGTCTTATTGTAACAATATGTACCCCAATGCGCTTGTTACACTTGATGAGCAAGAGTGCCTCTACCAAAATTGTTAATTTTATGGCCCCAGGGTCAGGGGTTCTGGTGTTAGGGTGGGGCTCTATTGATTATATAGTGAAAATAGATGAATTCTTTGAAAATCTTCTTCTCTGCTCCTAGGTATTAAATAAACTAAGAACATAGTTATGATGAGCAAGTATGCCTTTACCAAAATTGTGAATTTTATGGCCCCAGGGTCAGGAGTTCTGGTGTTTGGGCAGGGCTCTATTGATTATATAGTGAAAATACATTACATCTTTGAAATTTTTTTTTCTCTGCTCCTGGGTATTAAGCAGATGAACTATCAAATTAGTTATGATGAGCAAGGGCCCTAATCTTCCAGAATTGTTAATTTCAAGGCCCCAGGGTCAGGGGTACCATAGAGGGGGGGTGTACTTATATACTGAAAATGAATGAATTATATTGTTTGAAATCTGCTCATTGTTATTAATCAAATATTTTTGAAAAGCAAGGACGCCTTTTCAAAAATTGTGCAATGTGTGGATCTAGGCCTAAAGGTCAGGGGTTCATGTGTGGTAGGGGCACTACTGATTATTGCTGAATATTACTGATTTGTTGAAATGCTTTTTTTGTTCCCCTACCCTGCCTATGGGTATTAAGTAACCAAACTAAGCAACTGCTAAGTGTATAGTTATGATGATCTATGGTGCCTCTTTCAAAATTGTGAATGCCATAGCATCTGGCTTGGCTTAAAACATGAATCAAATTCAATCACTGGAAAGTTGTTGCTCATAATGCTCAGGTGACCTATAAGGCCCATGATCCTCTTGTTTATGTGTACATCTGTAAGTTCTTTAACATTAAGGTTTAGATTGACATTTAGGCATTTGCAATTTTTTTTTACACCAGAGAGGGGGTGGGGGTAATTGACAAGAACGTTTTCTAATTATTCTTGAAAGACAGACATTTCTTCTCAATTCGGTTTTGAGGTTTTTTTTATTCTTTATTGAACCCCTTAGTGCCTGACTGTCTCCCATACACCAAGAAATACACAATATATTCAAATTCTACATTATTACATGAAAAATAACTATAGTATAAAACACATGTATACATACATGTATAAATTAAATTATTAATTATTTCTTAATTCCATTGCATGGAGAATAAAATTCCTAAACACTGACATCATGAGAGCTGAGTAACTGGGTAAGCTTGTACATATTTGCAGATCTGAAATAACATTGTTTGATATAATTTTTTTTCTTAAAGTTTCATAAACATGACATTCAAGCAAAAATTATATTTTTGATGTCTCACTCCTACCACAAACTAAGTACATTTTGAGGAATGTGGCTGTTTTATAATTACACATGTATGAAGTTACAGGAAGTCTTTCGAGATTTCAGTATCCCTGCCTAACAGTTTAGCTATTTTTTTTTTAAACAAAAATAATTTCTGTATTAATATTTGGGAGATAATTTTAAAATTCTTATTTACTCTTATTTACTTATGAACTCCTCTCTCTCTCTCTCTCCTCTCTCTCTCTCTCCTGTAACCATTCGTTAGTGCAATAATAAGTATAATAAAATCTTGCGCGCTTTGTGTTGTACCATCTATTAGTCCTTGGGAGAGATCAAAGATTTTTCAGAGGGGGATGTTGAATCATGTTCTAAAAATGGAATAAGAATTTTACTTTTGACAAGAAAATAAACCTAAACTCACAAATTGAAAGGGAAATAACATGAATTTCTACATCACAGGAATGGGAACATTGGGAACTTTCTCAATACCTTCTCAGGTAAGGCATCTGGACAACAATTATTTAGACAAGAGGAATAAAAAAATCTAATTTTAGGTAGAATGTGGAATTCTCACCTGAAGTTTTTTCTCTTCCTTCCTATATGCTTTGACTATAAAATCATTAATATTATATGTAAAGAAATATAATTCAAAATCAATTCTGAGTTTGATCATTCATGTACAACAGAATCAAACTCGTTTTTTGTGTATCAAATTATAAATAACTTTAGATCTAGTTATATTAGGTCTCTGTTTTATAAAAAATAAAGCCAGTACACAGTATTGAAAGAAAAGAAGTCCGAACTTTACAAAACGTTTGTTTAAATTATTTTAAGGAGAGTGTTATGCATGTTTTATTACCCACCCTCCCCTTCAAAGGAAAATCTCTTCAAAAGATGAAAGATTTGTAATGTTGCATGCTATATAATTAATTTGATGTAATTAAACCATGCTCATTAATTTACAACATTTACAGACGAGTAATATTCATTTTTGGAAGAAAAAAAAATTTTTTTTTTCAATCAACCAAAATACCAGTGAACTTTCCACCTTTGAAATTTTCCCTGACCAAATAAACTGATCGGCATGGACCACGTGTGTCCAAGTGCTTTGTAGTGACAATTTTTAGCTCTATGGTCAGAGACCAGAAGAGCTTATGTGATAGTAAGTTGTCTGTCGTCCATCCGTCTGTCTAGCTGTGGGTCTGTTTGTAAACAATTTTTCAAAATGCTACTCCTCCTACAGTTTTAGTTTGATTTCAATATAACTTGGCACACAAGTAGACTACACTAAGATACAATATTCTGTTTATCCGTTTTTGATATCGATGAATGGTGTTTCCGTGGTTATTAAAAATAGAAATTTCTGTGAAACTACTCCTCCTTCAGTTTTGGTGCGATTTCAATATAACTAGGCACACAAGTAGACTACACTAAGATACATAATTCAGTTTATCAGTTTTTGATTTCAATGAATGATGTTGCCGTGTTTATTAAAAACAGAAATTCTGTGAAAATCATTCAAAATGCTACTCCCTCTACAGTTTTGGTCTGACTTCAATATAACTTGGCACACAAGTAGACTACACTAAGATACAAAATTTTATATATCGATTTTTGATTTCGATGAATGGTGTTGCCGTTGTTACTAAAAATAGAAATTTCTGTGAAAAACATTCAAAATGCTACTTCTCCTACAGTTTTTCTTCTGATTTTAATATAACTTGGCACACAAGTAGACTACACTAAGATACATAATTCTATATAGGGGTTTTTGATTTAGATGAACGGTGTTGCCATGGTTACTAAAAATAGAAATTTCTGTTAAAATCATTCAATATGCTACTCCTCCTACAGTTTTGGTTTGATTTCAATATAACTTGGAACACAAGTAGACTACACAAAGATACATAATTCTATATATCAATTTTTAATTTCGATGAAGGGTGTTGCCATGGTAACTAAAAATAGAAATTTCTGTGAAAATCATTCAAAATGCGACACCTCCTATAAGTTTGGTTTGATTCCAATATAACTTGGCAAACAAGTTATATAAACTTTAATACATTACTCTGTTTATATCCGTTTTTGATTTTGATGAATGGTGTTGCCCTGGTTACTAGAAATAGAAATTTCTGTGAAATACTTTTAAAATGCTACTCCTCCTACAGTTTTGGTCTTATTTCAGTATAACTCAGCACACAAGTAGACTACACTTAGATACATAATTCTGTGTATCCGTTTTTGATTTCGATGAACGTTGTTGTCGCGGTTACTATATAGATAGCACTTTCTGTGAAATACTTTCAAAATGGTACTCCTCCTACAGTTATAGTCTGATTGTAATATAATTTGGCATGCAAGTAGACTACACCATGATACATAATCATCAGTTTTGTGTTTTTTATTTTGATTTTTTATTTGGATCTTTATACTATTTATTGCTTTTATAAAATTTTAAGTCCCAAATGCTCCTATTCTCTTACTTTATTATAAGTACAAACCAGTAGAGCTACAGTCTCGACAGAGATTTCTGGTTTAAATATTGCTGCATTACTTATGATGAACAGTAAAAAACCCTTAAAACTCCATAATATTGCCAAATGTTTGTTAAACATGTATGTTTGATTTCTGTTAAGCAGACTCAAACTTGACTTCCGGTTATGGTATGGAAATCGTTCAACCATTGTTTACCAAATTGAAGATATTCATAATTTTAAGATACAAAATTCTTTACATAATTATTTCCCCCTAAAGTAGGGTGTTGCGTTTCTTTTGCATGTCAGTATATTTCAGTGGTTCTTTGTATTTATTTATTTTTTCTTCAAAAGATTTATTTGAAGTTAAAATATGACATATAAATATCATAAAGAGAATACCAAAATAAAAGCCCCCTTTTCGCAATTTTCTTAGCGCCTGGGCGGTTAATAGGGATTATACAGTAATTCAGTATTGAAATGGCAAAATTCAAATTTATTTCACATCTGTGGATTTTTAAAAATGAACAGTTTTTGAAATATCATATTAATAACTACAGTAATTTGATATGAATCTTGCGTCAAGAGCTGTGAATAAAAAATTCAATGATTTCAGAATGAGAAATAAATGATCGAATTGTAATTACATAGAAGAATAGATAAAAATTTTATGGTAATTTGAAATTTCAGGACAAAGTAAAGTTGGCCATCACCCAAGCTGAGGAGGAGGGACAGAGGCTGAGTCAGAAGATCGTCCAGTCCCCCGAGAAAGTGATGGAGGAGCAGGACATGATGAAGGTACACCTAGGGGAGCTCCGGGGGAATCTGGAGAGGAAGAGGCAGCAGCTGGAGGCCAAGAGGCAACAGGTGGAGGAGTTCAAGGTCGCCATCTCCAACAACGAGAAGGCCACCAAACTGTTACACAACATCAAGGTGGATGTGGACGCTGCCATGTAAGCTCAAGTATTCAGGATCTATGGGATTGGATTACATGAACAACCTGTATCAACATCCTGATAAACTTTAAAAATGATACCTTATTTCTTAAATAAACAGAAACACTTTAAAGCTTTATTTATTAGTAATGTGCAAAAAATTTAGTAAGTTGAATTATTAAAAAGAAGGGACTATAAATGAATACTGAGTAGTCATTCAGTTAATTGCAAAATCATACCCACATGCTCTGACTGATTGACCAGTTAATTGTATCTTATTATACATATTTTGACAGATTGATAAATTATATTTTCCTAAGAAAAGTTAATCCTTATACCCCTAAAATATGTACTATGTAGTGCTGGGGTGTCTATGTCTTCTGTCCATCCGTTACACCTGTTGGTATCTGTCTGTTATCTGCACTATGATATCTGTTGACTTATTTAGAGATAAAAACTAAATATAAGAAAACTGTTTTATAGATCCAAGGCCAATGACATCAAGGCCTATAGAGAGAAGACGGTCGACAAGAAAGATTCGATGCGAGATCTGAGGAAGAAGATTGAGATCGTGGAGGAGAACATCTCTAATCGACAGGAAAAGCTCTACAAACTCGGCCTCCAACAGCAAAACAAGAACAAGGGAATGCAGGAAACACTCAATCAACTGCAAGAGTAAGTCTAACGATGGTTTTTATTTTTTTGGGGGGGGGTCCAATTGAGGTTCCAAAATTCAAAAATTTTGATTTTCATTCAGTTAAAAAGTACCTTATGGTCTTTTTGTGAGTTTTCTCAATTTGATTCAAGTGCTTTTTTTGAAATTTACATGTAATGTGGACAAGATTTTTTTTCCTGTGTGAGTAATTTTTGTCATTTCTATTCTAAAGGCAGCGTCTGTTGATGATGCAACACTTCAGTGATAAAGAGAAAGGTTTAAGAGAGTTGGAGGAGCAAAGACAGCATCTTCTGAATGTTTTACAAGAAAGGCAGCGAGCACATGCAGAAAAAGCCAATGGCATTATGGGACTTTACGCAGAGCTTGTTGGAGCAGTAAGTCACTATTGCACAATTTCAAGGTCAAAGCCATATGAAATTGTTAGGTTACCAAAGTCACTCAGGTGGCACATTTAATTCTCCATGTGAATACGTTTAAAATTTAATTCACAGTTATGTACGATTAATTTTAATTAAATTCCCATTGTGAACAGTGCATTAATATGCAATTTTTGAATGCATAATCAATGAGATGTATATTTTTTAAAATATATGTTTTCCCATTATCCACCATTATCATCTATGTTATCTTTAAATTGGAACATTAATAACAAGTATTTTTAAAAACATTTTAGTCTAATGGTAGTTTTAAAAGGTTTGAATTCTTTACCAAAATGAATTATATGGATTTGTTAATTGAAAGACTAATTAAAAAATCTTTTTGTTTTTGCAGGTTGATAAATATCACACTAAAATTGGAGTAGGCTGGAACAAAGTACGAGATGCTTTCAATGAATGACCATATTATCAACATACAAAGATGTACATGTAAAACTCAGCCAAGCCCATGCTTTGTGACTTTGATCCAAAGACACATGACAGGAATGTGAAGCTTTCACAATAGTACCAGTAGATTAAGTTTATTGTTTAAAGAGAAACTGTTTGTTAATTCCTAATTTTTTTAGCACTTTATTTTAGCAGAATTAAAATTTTTAATGACAGAAGCCTTTAGTGATTATTATGATAATAGAAAGCATTCTTGTATGTGGACCATTTTACCTGTAAAGGCGGCTTTACACGGTAATACAAGTCGTATACAACTTGTCGTATACAGCAAAATATTACTGTGTGAAATACGCTATTACTTGTATTATACGACTTTCTAAAGTCGTATCTGACAGTTTTTGAAGTCGAGCATGTTCCTATTCTGTACTACAAATTGTATACGATTTTCTGGAGCCAACCAATGAACGGCTTGAGTTTTTAATTTATTCATGAGTGTCTGGTGAACGATAACGACATGTACAAACTACAATGTAAAGTACATGTACGGTACCTGCAACAGATATAGAATTGTTTGGTAAATATTTATACGTTGATTTATAATCATTTATAATGTAAGATACGGTTCACGTATGACTTGGAAACTTATTAATCTACATTTTCAATATAAATGCATCCATTCATAAATTAAAAAAATATTTTATAAAGAACTTTTATGAACGTTACTATGATAATTTTTATTGTGCTCTTTTAGTAAATACACCTAAAACTATATAAAAAAAAAACTTGTAAATATACCACACTATAAAGAAGGTAAAACTGTCTTTTTATCAAAAATTCGAGACATTTTTACTAAATTCTTGTCTTCATTTATTAATAATTACATGTATTTAATGAATGACGATACATTTCTCAGTTACGTAAACAAAATCCAGAAAAATATCATTGGCGCATTTACTTTCTTTTCATTGGGTTTCTTTATAATTAAAAAACTTTCTAACAAAATCTCTTATATTGCACACATTTTGTATGGTGGATATTCTATTTAGTGAGTTTAAAAAAGTTAAAACAAGTTAAGTAATCACAAAAATATTATAATACGAGTAATTATGAATAGTATTGGAATAATGGACTTTTACGAGAAGCACTGACTTCTACAGTTGACGTTTACTTGGACATTTAAATTTGTGTCATGTACGGAAGTACAGAATTGATAATGCATAAGAAAACCTTTCTTGTGGTCATAGGTATGATGTTAGGGGCACTAACTTGTGAATTCCGGGAGCTGAGGGTAGGGTCGTTGTCGTTTTCTTCAAGGACAACTTATATGAGCATTGAAATAACCGTTATTTCCGTTTAATTAAATGTTGAGCTAAATATTTATATCGTAAAGGAGCTACCGTACATAGCCCTAGTGTAAAAGTAAGCGTCAGCTGTAAAAGTCAGCGCTCCTCGTAAAAGTCCAATACGAAGAGTAACAAATATATATTCGAGGAACTTATGTGTGAATATTTATTATACATTGAGAAAAATGGATCACCTGAAATGCATGCAATTTTCTTTTTATTTGTAGATAATGCAAAAATCATGTAAATAATAATAATATATAAAATATTTTATCATGTGACTATCATTTGAATTAGTTTGTTTAATATTCAAATATAATATTTTTCATAACTTTTATATGAGTTTTTCATGTGATATGCTCTTTATATAAAATTCGTATGAAAGTTATGTCAAAATTGCATACTTTTCACATATACAAAGACTTTCGAATTTGGGAGTTTTATTCATTTGTATGACAATGAGGTTAAATAGAATTCCATTTAATTGTGTGGACAGGTGAGGAACATATTACAAAAGTTGTACATGTATACGACTTGTATTACCGTGTAAAGCCGCCTTAACTTGGGCATGAAAATAATATGCTCTCATCTAAATATCTAATATCTGATTGGTTTATAGTATTTGATAAAATGCTTTTACTTTGTGTGAAAGGGCATATAGTCCAGGAAAAACTAAGCATGTGCCGAGCATTGTTATCGGATTTATAACAAATTAGAAATTACCTTAAAACACACTTATTGCAAACATGCTTATAGTGATGCTTGCAGCGCGGTGATTTTTATTCCCTTTGTCTTTAATTGACTGACTTTAAATGAATATTATGAACTTAACATACATGTATTTAACAAATGCCTATAACATTGCAAAACTGTCCCTAGCACTTCATTGCAAGCATGTTTTACTGTGTTGATCTTGTTATAGGCTTTATTTAATTCTGTAAAGACTTAAAATTAAATGAAATTATTTACTGATCAACCCAATTTCTTTTTATAAACTGAGCAGGTTTAACGACAAGCACTTGTTTCTTGCACCATCTCCTTTTCTTTCATCCTTGTGGAGAGAGAGAGGGAGGGATCGATGCCCTGTATATTCAACAAGTGCCTGTGGGTTTAAACCAAGCTTTTTTGACAAAGATATGTGTATGAGAGCCCATCTAGGACCTATATTAAAAAAAAAAAATTGACTTTAATAAAACAAATTCAAATTTTACCCTAATATATCTACTTCTTGAATTTGTATTTATTACATATTAAATTCATTATCACAAGTTTGTTGTTTTCGTTATAATTTAGGAATTCCAAATCTTGTTATAACAGAAAAATTCAATTTTGGTTGTAACATTTTATTGAGTTGGAAAAAAAATTAGTAATTATTATATAACCTGGGTTGCCTGATTACATCACAATGACTTGCATCAAAAACGCTTCAATGCAATTGATGTTGCATTTAAAATATGTACAATTCAAAGGCATTTTGAAGGATGAATTATCTTATTTTGTTCACTTAATGATTAAAAATTAAATTATTAGGAAAGAATTTAATAGCTTACCAAGTTATATTTGTATAACCTGATTTGGAGCAGCTTGTGCTTTTTTATAAACTGCTTCGAAAGAAAGAGCACAAAGAATACAACAAAAAAAATCATTTAGGCCACACAAATTAAATTTCTTGTTCGTCGGACATTTGATGAAAAAAAGTATGAGCAGGCTAACGGTTAAATAATAATATTATTACTTTATTGTAGGCAAGATTTTTAGGCGGGGCGTGAAAAAATTTGAGCGGAGAATAATATTTTTTCTGATTTGCAATGAAAGATTAAAAGTATGATAAATAGAGCGGAAATGGGACAGAAAACAGCATAGAATTCCCATGGTGCGGGGGATTTTAAATTATTGTTTGTATAGTTTTTAAATACGAGAGCGCAGGTCCGACGATCAAAAAATTTTATTGGTGTGGCCTTATATTATATAACTTGAGAGACTTGCAATGGAACTGTAAAATACTTTATTTTTTAAAATTTAATTAATTAATTTTTTGGCATTTTGGAAAATGTAAAAACGTTAAGACGGAATGTAAACGAATAAGGATTGTTTTCAGCATATATGCAGATTCAATATAGATCGGGATCGGTATACAATCTGGTAACATTTTGGCGCCATCCCGCATTTCCTCGTGTATACATGTATTACATAACGAAGCGAGATGGTGAAGCGAAAACTAAAGGAAACGTCAATAGATGAAGGACCTTGTGATGGTAAAACCTTTTCACGTGTAGCACTGTTTCTATGCTGAAATAAATATATTGTGGCATATTTACGATTTTTGTTGCTGATATGTACAAAAAAGAGGATGAAATGAAATTTTATTCAATAATTATTCGATTATAGAAGTGTTGAACATGCGATTTAATTGGTGCTTTCATATTTAATTCCAACTGATTATCTTGACGTCACTTCAATTTAGCAGTGAATATATGAATGGACTGTTTTACAGGCTTGTCAAATCCATCAATCCACGACTTCAAAGATGAGGAAAAGAAAGAATTCCGCAAGCGCTTAGTGGCTTGGTTTAAGGAAAACCAGAGAGATCTACCTTGGAGAAAACAGCTAACAAATCCAGATATTGATCAAAGGGCATATGAAAAACTTCTGATTTTACATGGATTGTGAGGTATATAGATGTAGCAAAAGTTAAGTAACAGTAATATGGAATATCATAATTGTGTGTAGACTCCCAAAAGTTAACAAAAGTTAAGTCAGCATCGGTATAATAAAACACCTATTTACTGTTCAATAGCAAGTTTATCGTCCCCCTCGACAGCAAACTATTTCCCTCGGCTGCGCCTCGGGAAATAGTTAGCTGTCTTGGGGGACGATAAACTTGCTATTGTCCTCATAGCCAGTAAATAGGTGTATATTATGAGTTAGAGACTTAATGTTCCTAATTGTTACAGAAGATTCATCCTGATACTTCTGTGATAGTCATCATACTCAGACTAAATCGCAAGATATGTACACTACATAGTAACAGTTTGATTTCCACACTAAGCCAAGATTAAGCTCAGGTGTATATTCAACCTTTTGCTTAAAGATCTGAAGTGGATTCAGTGATTTTTCTACAACTTTTAAAAGGGGCCTGGGCCTTTCAATTGGGGAAAAATTGTTGACATTTGTGTCAAATTGGGAAAAAACAATAAGATTGTAATTAACCTTCATATTGACAAGCAAAATATATAAGTAAATGTATTATAATTTATTAAATTTATTTACTACAAAATTTTTCAACAACATGGCCACAGTTCTACATTTTTAATTTTCTTTCATATTTCTGTTCTTTGATTGTCCTATGTTCCATGTTTTTGCCTTGAATGGTAGCCATAATTGAGAAATAATCATTCCCAATTTCACATTTTTGCTCGCATTGGAGCTGGAATAATCTTGACACTATTTACAACCATGTATTGCTTTATTTCTCTGCAATGCTAGTATCTGCAGGATGAAGAAACAGTTTAATTTTCACAAAATCAAGGAAGGTTATTGTAGAACTTCTAGTACTTGCAATTTACAAATAAAGCTATGTTTTACCGATTCACATACATGTACGTATTAAATTTCTTACGATGTATTGACACACAAGTTTGACATCCAAATGATCGATGTGTTTTTCCAAGTCTTGCAAACACACACATAAACTGCTGTTTTTTAATTGCCATCATTTTAGCGTCCGAATGACCAAAAATAATACAATCTCTCACCAGAGGGTGCGCTCCGCTTACGCCTCTGTTGTCGTCTAAAAGTAGCGCGGGATGTCAAATAATTATTTGTCGACAAAAATTGTTAGACATTGATTGTTTTGTATGATTTCTCAATGATGTTACGTGTTTTACGCTCTCTGGTAGTAAATATTTCCTGACTTTGTCTCCTTGGTTTCAAAATTAAAATATGTGTAAAAATTCAGAACAAAATAGTGCCGTATACATTGAAGCTATTTTAATATATATATAAATTTTGAAAGAACAAAAGAAGTGCTACAGATTGATATTTCTAATTTCATTTAAAAAAATTACCAAGTTGGTGGAAATCTACAATTTATTTTCATTTTACAAGATTCTTGTAATTTAGACGATAACAGAGGTGTTGGAGCGATAAGCGTTAAACGCCCTCTGGTGAGAGATTGAAAATAATATTGTCCCATTTTAGATAAGTCGTACATAAAAAATTCAATATAATCGAAACAATACATTTCTATTTTGGGAAAAAAGCAGTTAAAAATTGGGAAAAAATCGGTAATTTTTGAGAGGGGAAAGGGCCGATATTCGGACCTAAATTGAGTGTAGAAAAATCACTGGGATTAAGAGAGATTATGAAAAGAGCATATTATTGACAGACACTCTCTTATACTGGTCGTATATGATCTTACCGGTTACACAACTGTGCCTTCCCAAATGAAATTTGCTTGATGCAGGCATACTTTTCTTGCAGTGTGGGTATCGGAGATCATGTTACAACAAACTCAAGTGGCCACAGTAATTGACTATTATAAACGATGGATGAAGGTGAGAAATCTTAGCCTTCAAACAAATCTGAATCGGAAAATCTACTAAAAATATGGTACATTACAGTAATATTTACATGATAAAATTAAACATGAAGTTAATACCTATAAAATTATTATTTTCACAGAAATGGCCAACATTGCAGGACCTGGCCAAAGCATCTCTTGAGGTAACTCTTGTTGAATCTGAAAACTTACATTTGATGATAAAATGACAGCTATTTTCTTCTTTATTGAGTTTCCATCACTGTCAGAGCGTATTTGTAATTGTTAGTGATTTATCATTATTTTGTATTAACTACGTTTATCTTGAGCAATTGTTCATTGAGCCTTTTGTATATTTTTGATCTCGTAGGAAGTGAATGAGATGTGGGCAGGTCTGGGTTACTACAGCAGAGGAAGGAGACTGTTAGAGGGAGCTCAGAAGGTGAGTTTGGGTGTATGTGAGCTCAGACAGTGAGTTTGGTTGTATTGGAGCTCAAAGATGAGTTTGGTTGAAAAGTAATTCAGAAGGTGAGTTTGAGTGAGTAGGAACTATGAAGGTGAGTTTGAGTAATTGGGACTCAAAAGTAAGCTCAGATGGGGAATTTTATGGATATGGATCTTTTAGAGATGAATCACAGACAGACAACAAACCATGCATGATCAGAAAACCTTGGGTTCAACTACAGGTGAGCTAATGAGGTAAATGATCTAAATGTTGATAGAATTATACACAATTACTAAAAGGAGTCATCTATGACAAGTGAATGATATCATGAAAAAGAAGGTATCAGGATATTCAACAGATAGTACTTTGTTGACTTATTCTTATATATTGCTAATGGATACAAAATATCCATCTTTTACATGTCGTTATTTCTTAGATAATCAGCATAATATTTTTGAAGAAGGTTCAAATATTCAAGAATCAAACACTTAATGGACACTTGCTAAAAATCATAAAATGTAAAGCTAAAAATCTCTTAATTTTAGGTTGTTAAAGAATTCAAAGGAAAGATGCCAAGAACAGCTGATACATTGTTAAAACACTTACCAGGTGTTGGCAGATACACGGCAGGAGCAATAGCATCTATAGCTTATGGTCAGGTGGGTGTTGTCTTCATAGCTTATGGTCAGGTGGGTGTTGTCTTTATAGCTTATGGTCAGGTTGATGTTGTCTTCATAGCTTATAGTTATGTGGGTGTTGTCCTTAAATAAATAATCATGTGGATGTTGTCTTTATAGCATATGGTCAGGGGGATGTTATCTTTACAGCCTATGGTCAAGTGGTTGTCGTTTTTATAGCTTATGGTCAGAGGGATGTTATCCTTAAAGCATACAATCAATTGGCCTTTGGGTGTTGTCTTTCTAGCATATAATTAGCTCACCTAGTTATGTGGGTACTTCTATGTCCTATATTGATTAGACATGCATGGAAGATGGTTCCAAAGGAGTGACCAGGTTTAAATAAATAATCATGTGGATGTTGTCTTTATAGCATATGCAAGTAACTATAAGCCCTATGTTGACCAAACTTGCATGGATGATACATCTAAGGATTACAGCCTATGGTCAAGTGTTAAAGTTTTTGGTGCAGGTTTCATTTGCAAGTAACTATAAGCCATATGTTGACCAAACTTGCATGTATGATACATCTAAGGATGCACACTACCGGGCTTGCTTCGGATGCTGAATCTGACCTACATTTTCTGGTTGAGTGAACAGGTTAAAGTTTTATCAAGAGATGATAATTCTCAAATTTGCTTCAGATGCTGGATTTTAATTACCTTTTCATGAAGAAGAACTAATAGTTTAATTTTTTTTATGTAGGTCTATTTCAAAGTATCAGATCAAAAAATATTTTCATTTTTGGAATGTACACTTTTTGTTGGTTAATTGTGTGACTTTGCCTTACTTAAAGACAACATTCGTTGAGGTGAGCTCTGTAATCTCTGATTACCTATGTTTATAGCTTATAGTCAGATTGGTGTTGTCTTTATAGCCTATGGTTAGAATACTATAGTATTATGAAGATTGAGAAGTTAATTCAGTAAGACTGTTGATAATATGATATTCTTGACAGCTGTTGTGATTGGGCTGTTGTCTTAATCACTGATGTCAAGTGGGTTTTATGATATGGGCATTTATCTTTATAGCTAATGATAAAAAAGTGATGTTTGAGCCTTATGTCTTCATTGCTTATACTCAGGTGGGAGTTAAGATTGGACAGTCATCTTTATAGCTTATGGTCAGATGGATGATTAGAATAGACAGTTGTCTCTATTAATCATGGTCAAGGGGTACTATGATTGGGTAGTTATCCTCGTAGCTTAGTCATTGTCTTTCATTTGTGGCCCTGGAGTTGAGTTGATAACCATAACTGGTGCAAATTCTTCACAGGAATATGTGAATGTTCCCAAATGTTATGCCATAGATTATCAACAAAGTTGAGATCACTGTCTTTTAAAGTAAAAAAAATAAACTTTTCTACAATTTTACCCTAGAAATGGAAAGTGAAACAGGACTAAGGAGAGCATGATTCTTTTGCCTCTCTTTATTAAGTTTGCTTACAGAATAGAGAATATTTTCTGTAATTTTGATAGGCTACAGGAATTGTGGATGGTAATGTGATAAGAGTTCTGTGCAGGATGAGAGTCGTTGGAGCCAATTCTACAAGTCAGCCAGTCCAGAACAAACTATGGTAATTTTATGCACTCAATCAGGGCTTAATTAAATGTCACCTACTCAATAGCATTTTACTTTCATTGTAGCAAAAATCTAATCAACAAGATGTGTTTGTGAAACACTATGCGCCCGGCGTCAACAAAGTTCGAAAAAGCTATTTTTAGTATATAGGTCATGGTCAAGGTCATTGACCTTGGTGTTGTTTGTAAGAACTTAATTAGTGGGGTATGCATACTAAATATGAAGTCCCTATCTCTTATGGTTCAAAACTTATGGCAAACAGTGGAAAAAGCTATTTTTAGCATATAGGTCACAGTCAAGGTCACAAGGTCATTGACCTTGATGTCATTTGAAGGAACTTTATTAGTGGAGTATGTATACCAAATATGAAGTCTCTATCTCTTATGGTTCAAAGGTAATGACAAACAGTGGAATAACCTATTTTTAGCATATAGGTCACAGTCAAGGTCACAAGGTCGTTGACCTTGATGTCATTTGAAAGAACTTTATTAGAGGAGTATGCATACTAATTATGAAGTGAAGTCTCTATCTCTTACGGTTCAAAAGTTTTGGCCAAGGTTAAAGTTGACAACAGACAGACAGACAAACAGACAAACAAACAGATAAACAGACAAACAGACAGGACAAAAACAATATGCGCCCCGAAAAAATTCGGGCGCATAAAAACATGCTAACAGCTAAGATTGACTATTGCCATTTAATACCTGTGAAACATTGTAGGAGTCTAGCTGATGAGATTGTTGATCCGGATCACCCTGGGGATTTCAATCAAGGAATGATGGAGCTAGGAGCAACAGTTTGTACCCCTAAATCTCCCAGCTGTGATTTGTGTCCTGTGCAGAATCTGTGTCTAGCTAAGTCTATGGTATGTACAGTTGAACCTTGTTATCTTAAATTGTTGGATATTTGGATATCTTAGAAGTTTAATATCAGACCTAATAAGGTTTGCCTGTAAGTACATGTATTATTATAAGGAATGTTTAATAGGGTCTCGTGGGAACCAACAATGTTTACCACAAAACTGTACTGCAATGTTTCACATGTGCTTCTTCAAATATTTATGATAATATTCAATAATTATTAATACAAATATATGATAATTGTTGATTAATATATGATAATTATTGATTAATGGATGTATATGATGTTTATTGATAAAGGACTGTTGATGGAGTATTTAAGGTTATCCGATCCTCAGGTTCTGAAAATCAGGCACTGAGTAATTGAAAATGCTTACAAAGATGTCTCTAAATTCTCAAATTAAAATGTATTTACCCATGGTGCTTCTTAAAAATTCATCCTTAAATTTAATCATATTATATAGGGAAAATTAGTAAATCTCGAATTATTTTTCAGGAAATGCGATTTGAACTACCTACTGCATATTTTTTAATTGATAATTAATCAAGAAATACATTTTAGGAATAAAAATCATAGGTATCCAGGCTTTTAAAGAAAATTGCATGAATTTTACAATTATTTGGACTTTACTCTCTCCTTCTTACTTCCATTGTTTCATAATGCATAGTGTATGAAGTGTTTCCTTTCAAAGAAAACACTGTAAATCACTTCTAATTTCAAATCATGCATATAAACATTAGTAGCTAAGGCTAATTTTAAAGGAAACTGATTTTTTTTAAATATGCAAGTTTTACTTCATTTTATGAGGTACAAATGTCAACTTTTTAAATAACGTTTGTTAAAACTTTAAAGAGCAATGAATCATATGTAGACGCATAAAATGAAAATTGTTGCAAGAAAAAATTTCAATTTCAAGCCTTATTTTAATACTTTTTGAATTAAATTATAAATTAAAGAGTTATCCTTCCTGGCTGAGGATCGTATATCCTTAAGCAATTGTTTTCTTTAAACAAACTAGAGGTACTGTGAGCGATGAGCTCACTAAATGATACCCCCCGCCTCCCACATGGTTATAACTGGTGAAAAAGTCCATGTTTTCCTGTGGCAGGGAAACCCAAAATATGTGTCGGATCAAAAAGTAAAATAGGAGGTGCACAAAGGCAATATGTAATAAAGATTCTGTGAAAATTACATCAAAATTCATTCAGCGGTATGAGAGGAGTTGCGGATAAGAGATGGGTACCCCAAAGCGTAACAGACGGACGGATTGATGGACAGACAGACGGACGGACGGAATTAACGATTACTATATACCCTCCTGCTTTTCAAGCGGGGGGTATAATGATATGTAGTAAAATACATCGAGCGTTTGTACAATGTGGATTTCAGGTAGACAGGAACAAGCTAAGAAATGGAAACAAACTTGGAGTCAATGTAAGCGCACCAGTCCCCGACATAGAATGTGGTAAGGTTATTAATACTTTTACTCTGGAGACTTTTTTATTAAATTAGATTTTAATGGAAGATCTGATGTGGTATAATACAATATTTTTTTGATCATTTTCTTGCATTTGTTCTGTTTTCCTCATATACATGTATTTTTAAAAAAACTAATGATTCTTAAATATTAATTTCTAGCTGCTGATAAGTGTGAACTTTGTTTACCAGAAAATGAGACATGGGATGAAATGTATGTAAATAACAAGTGCATTTCAGACTCTAAAGAATAATTGATTTTTTTCTGTTGAAATTTTTTTCAATTGTGCTTAGTCACATGTCTTCCTGATTTGATTATTTTTTTCAGAGAAGGTGTTCAGAATTATCCCAGAAAATCTGCTAAGAAAGCAGCCCGAGTGGAGAGGACCAGTGTATGTGTTCTGTGTAAGAAATCGGACACTGAAGAGCTACAGTATTATTTGGTCCAGAGATCTCAGAAAGGTACACTCCAGTACACAAATAGCATTAAACAAAATGGAAAATCCAACAAAATGTTGAAATATTATTATTTTGAAACACAATACTGAGGAAGTAACAGCTATCATTTGACTTTTTAGCTCACCTCGACGAAGTCGAGATGAGCTTATGCTATACCCTGGCGTTGGCATCAGTGTCGGTGTCCCAGGTTCAAGTTTTTGGAGCAAGTCTATTCCCAAGTAACTATAAGCCCTGCCTGAACCAAACTTGCATGGATGATGCATCTAGGGATGTACACTACCAGACTTGCTTCGGAAGCTGGATCTGGCCTACGTTTTCTAGATGAGTGACCAGGTAAAAGTTTTTGGAGCAGGTAAAAGTTTTTGGAGCAGGTTAAAGTTTTTGGAAGAGGTCCATTCCCAAGGAACTATAAGCTCTACTGGGACCAAATTTACATGGATGATGCTTCTAGGGATATACACTACCAGACTTGCTTCGGATGCTGGATCTGACCTACATTTTTTTAGATGAGTGACCAGGTTAAAGTTTTTTGAGCAGGTTAAAGTTTTTTGAGCAGGTCTATTCCCAAGAAACTATAAGCCCTTCCTGGACCAAACTTGCATAGATGATGCATCTGGGAAAGGACACTACAAAACTTGCTGCGGATGCTGGATCTGACCTACATTTTCCAGATGAGTGACCAAGCTAAAGTTTTTGGAGCAGGTCCTTTCCACAGGAACTATAAGCCCTATTTGGACCAAACTTGCATGGATGATTCATCTAGGGATGGACACTACCAGACTAGCTTCAGATGCTGGATCTGACCTACATTTTCATTCCCAAGTATCTATAAGCCCTATTTGGACCAAACTTGCATTGATGATGCATCTAGGGATGGACACTACCAGACTTGCTTCGGATGCTGGATCTGATCTACATTTTCATTCCCAAGTAACTATAAGCCTCTACCTGAACCAAACTTGCATTGATGATGTATCTAGGGATGGACACTACCAAACTTGCTTCGGATGCTGGATCTGATCTACATTTTCATTCCCAAGTAACTATAAGCCTCTACCTAAACCAAACTTGCATTGATGATGTATCTAGGGATGGACACTACCAGACTAGCTTCGGATGCTGGATCTGACCTACATTTTCATCCCCAAGTTTCTATAAGCCCTTTTTGGACCAAACTTGCATGGATGATGCATCTAGGGATGGACACTACCAGACTTGCTTCGGATGCTGCATCTGACCTACTTTTTCATTTCCAAGTAACTATAAGCCCTATTTGGACCAAACTTGCATGGATGGTAATGCATCTATTCTAAGGATGGACACTATCAGACTTGCTTCGGATGCTGGATCTGACCTGTATTTTCCATACAAGAGACCAGGTTAAAGTTTTGGGAACAGATCAATCAGAATGAACGTGAAGTCCTTGATATCTGCAGTATTAACAGTTATGAATATTTGTTTACACTATACATGTTTTTCACGGTACACGCATAGAAATGTGTATATTGCCATGTAAGGGGTTAAACACAACTTGCAAGAATATTGTTGTTGGTATGAATACTAAATATTAAGAAAATATGATGTGAGGATTTGCATTACTTAAACTGATAACATTCGTCGAGGTGAGCTATGTAATCTTTGATTACCTATGTTTTTCTATTGGATTGTATATTATCCCAGAATGCAAGATTAGGTATGAAAATTGAACACAAGAAGTGATAATTTTCATCAGTAATAATCTGTGGATGAAAAAAAAAACCTACAAGTTTTTGCTTTCTATGCCAGGTCTTTTAGCTGGTCTTTGGGAATTCCCCTCAGTTAAAGTGGAAGAGGATGATGAAAATTCCCATCACACAGTACACGAAATCCTCCAGAAGTCCTGTGGACTGCTTGTCCCGCCTTCTTCTCCATCAACAGTTGTGGGTGAAGTGAGTACCCCCATGCCATGGCTTTTGTAAAAAAATGAAGCACTAGGGTATATCTTCATTGATGTATTATACTGGTATTTTTGAATACTTCCATTATTATGTTGGTGAAATATACATTAGTGATACTCCAGCTTTTATGCTTTTCTATGCCTCTGCTATTTTGCAACCTTTCAGATCATATATATAAAGTAGTATAATACAGACAGTCTCCAAATCATTAAAAGTTTCATACACTGTAATACTCATCATAACATTTACATGAAGTAACAGAACTTGTAAAATTATGGTTTCCAGGTAGAACATATATTTTCCCACATCCACCAGACATACGTTGTACAGTCTTTAGTGGTCAGTGAATCAGAGATAGACAGTTCTAACACTCACACAGAGAACAGCCGATGGGTGTCCAGGGAGGAATTCTCAACAGCCGCTGTCTCGACGGCCATGAAGAAGGTAATGGATTGTATTGCATCAAAATCAAAGAAGAAGGTACAGTTTGAGCTTTAATGTGCCCTAAAATTTGAATGGTCTTAAAAAGTTATGATATTGGCTTTAACAAAAGTTGAGTAGATGAATATGATAAATCATGAAAGAATATGGCATGAATGAGGACCTTTCTGGCAGTATGATGTTATTAATTTGGTGCATTTCTAAGTTTCATGCAGAAAAGCCTCAAAATGACACTTTTCTGTGCTTATTTTCCTTTAGAAAATAGTGTCTGCCATCGTCGCCCACTTTAATTTTTGGATATATTATGTAAACTGTTATGAAAAATCACTATCTCAAAATCTTTCCGGGCGACGGTGGCAGAGTTTGTTTTCTGAAAGAAAATTCCACTGAAAATTTATCTCTTCTGCAACTTTTTAAGAAAATACGGGAAAATGCACAAGTTAATGACGTCACAATTAGCATTAAGGAGGTCATATGAGAAAAACGAATTGTATATTCTTGCTGCAGGGAAATTCTATGATTAAGAAACAGTGAATTTTGTTTTCTTATATCACTTTCATATTTTAGAAAAATAGCAGGCTTACTTTGTATTGAAACTGTACCTTCTTCTTTAATTTAAAAACTTAAAAGATATTTTTTCTGCAATTTTATTTTCTGGGTCACAGTAACAAGTTTTGACATTGTGTTCTATGGTTGCTATTAATGGTACCATTTTTAATTAGAAACTGTTTTATAAGTTCTGTGTGTACTGCATACCTGTACTTTTGTCACTATTTTATAGGTTTTGAAAGCTCTTGAGACATCTAGCTCAGGGAAGAAGGTAGGACCAATGCTTTTGTAAATATGTATATGAATGAATATCTATATCAGCAAAATTGTTCACACGGTTTAATTTTTCCCTTCTCTCTTCAGAAAAAGAAGCCTACTGATACGGACAAGAATCAGAAGTCAATAACTTCGTTCTTCACGAAAAAGTAGATTTTAGGTATTTGTCTTAATTTCTAATACCTAACATGTTTGTTAGTAATACTGTATTACTGGGTATATACAGTCATATACATGTATAATTGTGCTTTAAAATATTTTAAACTTTGAAATAAAGCGAATATATATATAGAACTGTAATATTTGTTAAAAATATAATATCTAGACTAAGAATTTATCAAATTACTTTTGAAATTTATACTTCTGTAATTTTTTTTTTAGAAAGTTTGTTAAAATTATATTTGTATATATTTTGAATAGAGAATAAATGAATATTTTTATGATTAACTTCTTTTTTTCATTACGGAAAGGCATGTGTTTTGAAATGTTATAATTCTACCAACAATGGGCAATAGAAAGTTTTTTGTACCTACTTTGGTGAAAAATTCCAAATATGAGAATTTGTATGTTGCTTTTTAGCTCTACTGGTCAGAGACCAGAAGAGCTTATGCGATAGTAAGGTGTCCGTCGTCCGTCTGTCTGTCTGTCTGTCTGTCCGTCTGTCTGTAAACAATTTTTCAAAACGCTACTCCCCCTACAGTTTTGGTCTGATTTCAATATTACTTGGCACACAAGTAGACTACACTAAGGTACATTAAATAGTGCATCGGTTTTTGATTTTGGTGAACAGTGTTGCCATGGTTACTAAAAATAGAATTTTCTTTGAAATTCCTTTAAAACGCTACTCCTCCTACAGTTTTGATCTGATTTCAATATTATTTGGCACACAAGTAGACTACACTAAGATACATAAAATAGTGCATCGGTTTTTGATTTTGATGAACGGTGTTGCCATGGTTACTAAAAATAGAAATTTCTGTGAATTTCCTTTAAAACGCTACTCCTCCTACAGTTTTGATCTTAAGGCAGTTGCTTCTTTTCTCATCCTTTGTTATAAGTAAAAACCAGTAGAGCTACAGTCTCGACAGAGACTTCTGGTTGATTTCGATGAACGGTGTTGCCATGGTGACCAAAAATAGAATTTTCTTTGAAATTCCTTTAAAACACTACTCCTCCTACAGTTTTGATTTGATTTCAATATTACTTGGCACACAAGTAGACTACACTAAGATACATTAAATAGTTCATCGGTTTTTGATTTCGGTGAACGGTGTTGCCATGGTTACGTAAAATAGAATTTTCTTTGAAATTCTTTTAAAACGCTACTCCTCCCACAGTTTTGGTCTGATTTCAATATTACTTGGCACACAAGTAGACTACACTAAGATACATAAAATAGTGCATCGGTTTTTGATTTCGATGAACGTTTGCGCCATGGTTACTAAAAATAGAATTTTCTTTGAAATTTCTTTAAAACGCTACTCCTCCTACAGTTCTAATTTGATTTCAATATTACTTGGCACACAAGTAGACTACACTATTAAGATACATAAAATAGTGCATCGGTTTTTGATTTGGTGAACGGTGTTGCCATGGTTACTAAAAATAGAATTTTCTTTGAAATTCCTTTAAAACAATTCTCCTCCTACAGTTTTGATTTGATTTCAATATTACTTGGCACACAAGTAGGCTACACTAAGATACATAAAATAGTGCATCGGTTTTTGATTTTGGTGAACAGTGTTGCCATGGTTACTAAAAATAGAATTTTCTTTGAAATTCCTTTAAAACGCTACTCCTCCTACAGTTTTGGTCTGATTTCAATATTACTTGGCACACAAGTAGACTACACTAAGATACATAAAATATAGCATCGGTTTTTGATTTCGATGAACAGAGTTGCCATGGTTACTAAAAATAGAATTTTCTTTGAAATTCCTTTAAAACGCTAGTCATCCTCCAGTTTTGGTCTGATGGCAATTGCTTCTTTTCTCATCCTTTGTTATAAGTACAAACCAGTAGAGCTACAATCTCGACAGAGACTTCTGGTTAATTAAAATATTTTTGTAAATCAGATTATCTTATAAACACCGACACAATATGCAACAGAAATATTGATAACAAATTTCAGATCTTGCATTATGGAAACAAATACCGTATAAGCAGAATTTTTAGCGAGGATTTAATTTTGGCATTATTAGCGAAGGTTCTGAGATCACTAAAATTAAATATCGCTAAAAATAAACTGTCTTCAATTTGCAATACCTTTATTATTGAGCATTTTAAAATCGCTAAAATTACTTCTCATTAAAAATAAAATACCATATTTTAAAGACAAATCGCTAAATTTGCGTCAAGCTAAAATTTTCATTTATACAGTACACTAATTGAACGTGGTGTTTTAAGAAGTTCAGTTTATTGAAATTAAGTGCAGTAGATCTTGACATTTATTCAACAAAAAATTTCAGGTGAGATCTTTGTAGCCAATCCAAATCTACGCTATTATCCACTACTCCTTCCTGTAAAAAAAAATAGAGATGGCAAGTTTAGCTTTGATGACAAGAACATTTAGTGTATTAAACAAAACTATTTATAAACATTTTTTTTGTAATTCTTAAAAGAATTTCTGCAATGTGGAATTCAGAGATATTTTATAGGTTCCATTTCTTTTATATCTTTAATTATTGAAATAATTATAAAAATGTTAAGGAACTGTGACATTAAGATCACAAAATGATCCCCTGCTCCCATACCAGTATGGATGCATTTCTTGGCAGCATGTTAATAAGATTCTATGAAAGTTGCATTAGAAATTTAAATTAGAGGTTTAAGAGGAGTTACAATAGGGGCAAAATTGGTGTCCCTTTTATTAATGAGGTTAGCTGCAGAACTATAAAACTCCAAACAAGAGGCCCAGGGGTCACATCGCTCACCTGAGCAATTGGCTAGGAAAAAACACAGATCAGATCAGAACTGAAAGTAAACTGGGGGGGGGGGGGGGGAGGCCGTACTTGAATTTTACATCCCCCCCAAGAAGTCATGATTTGAACAAACTTGAATCTACACTACCTGAGGATGATTCCTTGTAAATATAACAAAGCCTGGCTGTGAAGTACTTGAAAAGAAGATTTTTAAAGATTTTTCCTCTATATTCCTATGTAAAACTTTGATCCGCCATTTTGGCCCCACCCTACCCCGGGGGTCATGATTTGAACAAACTTCAATCTACACTACCTGAGGATGATTCCACATGAGTTTCATCTTTACTGGCCCAGTGGTTCTTGAGAAGAAGATTTTTAAAGTTTTTTCCTATATATTCCTTTGTAAAACTTTGATCGGCCATTTTGGCCCCACCCTACCCCCAAGGGTCATGATTTGAACAAACTTCAATCTACACTACCTGAGGATGATTTCACATGAGTTTTATCTTTCCTGGCCCAGTGGTTCTTGAGAAGAAGATTTTTAAAGATTTTTGCTATATATTCCTATGTAAAACTTTGATCGACCATTTTGGCCCCATAAATTTGAAACAGACCACATGTCGCTGTACGGATATTTTACCTTTAACTATGACCTCCCCGACGTGTTCGATTTTTTCTAAGTTAGTCGACGCCACACACGTGTAGTTCTTGCTCTCCGTGACGTTTTTCAGTTGGAGGACATTCTTTCCTATGACAGACTTTCCCAGTTCCGTGGCACCATCCCGCCACATAACGTGTGGCATGGGGGACCCCACCGCCACACAGGTCAGATTGACGCTGCCATTGGGGTCCACCTCCACTCTCTTCGGGGGTAAAAAGGTAAAATGAAGGGGGGCTCGACGTACTGAAAAATAATTGTATATCATAAGTATGTATGGTAATGGTCACGTATTGCACGTAAAAATGCAATAAAAATGTATTTTATTTGTGTTCTTTTTCATAATTCAAGAGAGCAAAAACTACAAATTCAACAGACATTGCACTTGCGTTTATTTGCAACTTGCAAAACTATCTTCAACAAATTCTAAGATAAATTTAAGATTTCAGATAAGAATTTGTAAGCATCAACTTAGTTAGTATATATGGTAATGGTCAAGGTATTGCACGTAAACTGCCCTTAAAATGTATTTTCTTCATGTTCTTGAAATAATTCAAGAGAGCAAAAACTAGACCTTTCACAGACATTGCACTTGAGATAATCTGCAACTTGTAGACATAACAATTTTTAACAAATTCTAAGATTAATGTTTAATGTAAGATTTCAGATGAGAATTTGTTAGCACCAAATTATATATACATGTATATACTAGTAAACCAAAACCTACAAAAAAGATTTCATAATTGGATGAAAGTAAATAAAAAAATTCTCTTTTACCAATGAAAATAGTAGTACATTGTACATACCTTTGACGTATAACATCGCAGCATAAGAGTAGGTCACTCCATACTCATTGGTAGCTACACATTCATATTTTCCATAATCTGACTCCAGGGCCTTGGCTATACGTAAAGATCCTGAAAAGACAGACGTTCTATTGATGAAAAAGATTCCCAAATTTCATTTTCGTAAAAGCTATATAATGTTTTTTTTTTGAAAAGCTATCATGGTACAGTTTCAGTGGCGGATTTAAGGGGGGGCGCACCCGGCGCCCCCCCCCCCTAAAATTGTCAAAGTTAACATAAATCAGAGTTTTGTCTAGGAAAATGTAAATATGTCTACTTGGAAGACCTCATTTTTACCCTACATAATCTCTAGAACCCAGGAGCTGGACCCACTGGGGGCCTCAAGGCAGCCCCCAGACCTCTTGCCTACTTTTGGCGCCCCCTCTAACTACAATTCCTGGATCCGCGCCTGAACTGTTTATCTAATTAAATTAATTCACTATAGAATAAAAAATAGTATTATTGCACCAAGGTCAGTGATAAGGATACATGTATTTTACATTTACATCAATTTTTTTAAATGTAAATAATTTTCAATTTTTTAATCCCCAATCTATGAAAAATAGGTTCATCCCACCTTCCTAAAAAAAACAGTAAAACATATTTTCTACCCATAAAAACAATAAAGATGCAGGATCATTTCTGGTTCCTCTCTGTAAATTATTTAATTCACGTATTAAGTTACCCCGTATGAGTCAACGAACTAACGACCCAGAGAATAAATGGTGTAAAAACAAAGTTTTGCGGTCACAGTTTTTTTCTATTCCGTCCTATTTCTTCCCCCCCCCCCCCAAAATCCCTGAGAGAGGCTACATGGTAGGTGGCCGTACTGTGGAATCAATTTGAATTAAGTGGGTCAGTGTTCGTGGACAATTACAATTTCACTAGTTCGGTTATTTTGTGGGTAAA